AAATTTTTTTAATTTTTAAATTAAAATATCTCAACAACTAATTAACCAAATTTGCTCAAAATTTTTTTATTTTAATTAAAAAAATAATTATTAAATTTAAATTAATAAGATAATTGCTAAGATTAAAGTCAAGAAAACTTTTGCTTAGAAAAAATTTGTCCCTTTTTTATTGAATCCACCCCATATATGTACGTTTTATAATAAATGTTTTTTTACAATAAAAATATATTTAAATCATTATTTGTTATCTCAAATAATTCAAATCAGATACGTTGTGTTATACAAATATACAATAGTAACAAAAAAATTCAAAGTTGCGATTTTGATATTTATTTTAAAAATATATCAAAAATATAATTTTATCTTTCGCATAGAGCTCTTCATACGTATATACTTTGAAGTGCTAAGCCAGTTTTTGAACAATAGCAACTATGGTGTTAGTAAACCCGTTTAATCAAAAACTGATCTGGCCAGCTTTTAATAATATATTATAATAATTTATGTATATGTCATTAAAATATATAGTCGTATAAAAAAAAACTCAATTCCCCAATACCAAAAATCAAGAAACAAAGTTGAAGCAACCTGGCTGAATGAGAATACAATATGTATAATTATAGAGATGTGTACACATTCCCTTTTTTATAGACAACAAAAAAACGATACGTATAATTTTAATCCGGGCACATATCGATGGTTAAAATAGAAATTAATATTAAAGGAATTTTCATATTAGAACTGTTGGTTGACGCATACAGTGACAGTACGATTTTTTTTTTTTTTTTTTTAATTCGCCAACCTATATATTAAACAGGCTTATGGATTGTGCAATGGTGCAAACAGCCAATCAAAACTCTCAAAAATTGTTGGCGTTAACTTATTAGTAATACATTTATCTGTGTTTCCATGCTCTAAAACCGTTCAGAATGATTGTACCAAGGGTGATTGACTAAATTAATTTTTTTGGCCGGCTCTATGTCATTTTTATAGTCCATTAAGAGGCTTGCGCATATGCGGTTAACACAAACAAAACAATGTCATCCACGTCCACTACTCTGTCCTCAATATCTGACTATCTTTTTTCAGAATGCAAGGAGCAACTACACCAATCAATCGACCTGATCAAGGAACGCAGCCAATTCCTCATGGACAGCCTATGGGCCCTCCTCCTCCTCCTCCTGTGGGTTACCGCCCAAGTTACGGTTTCCCTATAGGGTGCATTTAAATTTTTATTTTATAATACTTGTGAGTTTAACAATATGTTACATGGACTTAAAGTCTCTCACCTCGCTTTATAGTCGGAGGTTAACGGCACCATCGGGCACAACAACACCGTCCGAAGAAAAAAGCACTAACTTTACAGAAAATGATGTTCTTATCTCGTCTGGAGTAGATTTAAAAGTACGGGCTCGTTTGAAAAAGTTATTGAAAATTAAATAGTCAATTAGAATATCTAGAATAAAATAATTTTCAAAACACATTTAAACTATAATAGGCAGAGGAAATTAATATTCGTAGAGAACATGAATTATTGGCAGCGCGTCAGTCTTCCGCGCTAGTTCAATATCCAGACCGCTCACGTTCCCAAAGTTTTTTAAATCAAAGAAGTCTTGCCGCAAAAGTTCAATCAATAGGTAATTCATTTTCTTCCTCCTTTGATTTTTTTACTTTTCTTTTTTTTTGCTGTAATTCGATATATTGTCTTGCAATGAAGTCCTAACAACTTCTTACTACAAAAATTTAAGCATTGCAACACAAAATAGTAAACGTACACTCTGATGCATTAGCATACCTGGCACTTGCCACACAAGAAAGAATTAGAGAGTTGATTGAAACAATGATAGTAGCAAAAAATCACCGAATACATTCGGAACATATAAACCTCCCTCCTGCTTCCGAAAATGGTCTACCTATGTATAAAGAAGTTGTCAGCCTAGATGTTAGATCGCAACTAGCTGCACTGGAAAAAGTTGAAAGGGAGCAAGAGCGTAAAAGGCAGGAAAGCCTTGCAGGTTCATCGCAAGATACTAATATAGGGGATGAACAAACGGATGAGATGAAAGATTCAGCAGATGCTTCGACTCATCAACCAAAACGTGTTAAACGTCAAAAGAAGGATAAAGACTCTACATCTAGTTCGTCATTGAAACTATCGAATGAAGCTATTGCTACAAGTACTAATCAAACAGCTTTGGTGGCTGCTGGTGGCCTAACGAAAAGTTGGATGTTACAAGGAGCTATTGATAAAACTTCCCAGTCTTCGACTATATCCTCAACAAACGGTAATGGTGCTTCATCCGGAATTAGACCACAACGTGGACGCTCACGTTCAACATCAAATGGTCGACCATCAGTAATTAAAAGGGATAGTCTAGGCACGCGCGGTGACCATATATTCTCTGCAACACATGATAATAGGAGGGTTTCACGGGATGCAGGTGATGTCACCCCAGCAGTAACGGTGAAAGACGCACTTTTTGTACTTGAAAGGGATCGTGGTGGCGGCGGTCAAGCCGGTGGAACACGAGAGGTACTCATGAAGGTATGCAGACATTTGTACTTAATGTAACTTTCTAACAATCAACATTAATTTAATAAATCCTTATCGAACATAGGGATACGTCAAGTGGTTGCGCTGAAATTGTTGGTAATTAAATTAGGATTTGGGAGATGGGACTAGTGATTGGTAGTAGGTATTCTGTAGCCTATATATTGCCTTTATATTTTCAAAATTTAATTTGCTTTCTGTATAAACAATAATTAGTCTACTCTAAGCAATTCACTTGTATATAACGGAAAAAAATGTTGGCGAAGGGTAATATGTTAAAATGGCTGGTAGTACAAGTTTATGATTTGTATAAATTATAAAAAATTATTGATGCGAATAAATTTTAGCCTACCATCGATCATGATTTTGCCGTTTGATTATTCAACTTCTTCCTTATGAATTTCAATGTTTTCTTAGATCATAACTAAGTTTTGTGTAAGTAATGACCTTACAAGCGTTCGATTTTTGCCTTCTGAATCAGTTCTTCTCAATTGATCATTCTCGGCTTCTAATTCGGAAATTCTCTCCTGCAAGGTGCTTAATTAAATTCCTAATGTGTATAAATCGATACAAGTCTATTTGTTATTATTCGCGGTCAAAAATCTTATCAAATAGTTCAACATATTTGGTATTTCGATATTTGAAGTATAGAAGTGGAAAAAGAATAGTCTTTGGAATGTGTCATTGTCCAATGTATATATTGTGCATCCTTGTTTATGTTTGTACATCAAAGAAATTGTAAATACTTGCATAAACATTATTTATGCTTTATGAATTGCTTGGTTAATCTAAAAGGTTGTACTACAAATTTTGGTTGCTCAAGCTCCAGAGTGTTATGTGTCTAACAATTGCCGTTATTTACTATGGAGAGTGAATGAAATTATGCATACGTATGTAACAATTATGGGCACATTGTACTAAATCAGGACTAGCAGTGACTTTGATACCGAAACATAAAATTGTATTTTTAATATACAGATATAGTGCATAAAAAATTTTATAAAAAAAGTAGTAATTATTAGATATATATATATATACTGTATATATATTAGGTCTTTATTGTATATGTGACTACTTTATTGGTTTGCAAAAAAAAAAGAATACGTATTAGGAAACGGACAGAATTAACTGATTTTAGAGGGGGGGAGGGGGTTTCTTGTTTGATCAGATTATACTGTAATAATTTAATTGATAATTTTTGAGAGTGGGGAATATAGCCTTTTAGTAAATTGAAATCACCTAATTTTTGCCCATGCCCTTATATATTTATTTTAATACATACAGTATATATAAAATCGAATTAAAAAAAAAAAAAAAAAAAAACAAACGCTTATTATAATTAAAAAATTTTAAGTTTTTAATATAGTTACTTTCAAAAAACAAAATATTAAATATATTAGTAAGTATCAAGAGCTTTGTTAATACGTATATAAAATTTACTTCAAAAATATATAAATAGTATACACAATATACTTTTAAATAGTTTTAAAATTTAATATACAGTATAAGGGAAAGTCAATAAAAAAAAAACAAATTATTTTTAGTAAAATTTTTTTAATTTTTAAATTAAAATATCTTAACTATTTAATTAAATTTGCTAAATAATTTTTGGTTTAATTTTGAAATTAAATAGAATTAAAATAAAAAAATTTTTATTAAATTTAATAAGATATTTAAGCTTAAAGTCAAGAAAACTTTTACTTAAAAAAAATACTTTCTTTTATATTATAAATATAAAAATTTTTAAATCTATACTATATAGTGTATTAATTAATTAATTTGCAAATCTGTATAATATATAAATTTATAAAGTTAAAGTTATTATCTGATTTTTTGTAAATAGTAAAATTTTTTCTCTTTCTCAAATAATTATAATTATATATAAAAATATATATATGATCTATTAGCTTAATATTTTGGCACCTATCTTCTTGTTAAAAAATTAGATAATAAATGACACTTCTTTTAAAAGTTAGAATTAGAAAATATTTTATACTAAAATTTTGTAAAAATTATTTTTTAATAATTTTATAAGCACAACTCTTCCCAATGATCATTTGGACCAAAATTCTTACTGGAAAAAAACAGAACTTTTATTAGAGAGTTGTGGGCTAATGTAGCAGTTTGTCTAGAGGTCAATGATACCACTCTTCTGGGACTTTTTTATAAGTTGTATATTTGATATGCAAGCCAAAAGCATTAGTATACAAGATAATTGGCTAGAGGTGTATGCTTTTGAATACAAAATTTTGGTAAAAAGACAACAGTTTGCCCATTGACAAAGTTACTTAGGCTGTTACTTCTAGAGGAAGAACACAGGAAAAACAACAAAACTTTGCTTTTTTTTCAAGCCACACTTTTTTACTTGGTCAAGTGGTTCCTCTTTTACTACTACTCGCCCTCCCGTCGGTCTTCCAAAAAATTTTAACAAAAGTGGAGGATTTGGCTTACCTCTTTCAAGAGATTAGCATTGTTTACTTCCCAAATTTGAAAAGATTAGCAAAATGCAACTACATGTTTGTTTATAGATGAATATGGTGCTACTTTAAAGGACTCAGTCTAGAAACTCTAATTATAGCAGCAGGTGGCTTGAGACACAGGCCTTGGACAATGCCTCAAAATACAAATCAGAACAGGCAATGAAGCTATCTGGAGTTGGTAGAAAGGTCAGAAAGTAAATTTAATATTAAGGTGAAGCTTTACAGTAGAGATATACAAATGTTGTATTTGTTATATAATTTTTATACTTGTCTGGCATGAGTTATAATAGTGCTTCATAGATTGTTATATTTCTTTTTTTTTTTTTTTTTTTTGACAATCATGTCACAACTTTATTTTATATTATAAGATTTACATTTATAAAAAATGTGATATCTATTTATAGCTATGCTATTTTAAACTAAAGTGTGGCTCACCCGGTTGCCAATTGGTACCTATGTGCGACCTGCCAAAGTAGAATTAACCTCACTACCTTTTCCTTATCTATTTCAGATAGAGAAAATGCAGTTCATTAGCCTGGATCTACAGCCTGTCATGATCTAACTTAATTTTTGTTCCATCTAGACCACCTTCCGGTTCGTATCCATTTGTTTACCTCCTCCATTACTAAATTCACTTTTTCTTTAAAATTGTCCAGAAAGTTTTTTTCTTTTTTCCTCCTCTTGAGTCTTTCCTTGCCAGCGTTCGGTAGATCTCTCTAATCGGGTATGCTTGTCCTTTTGGTATTCTTTATTGCCTGGGGCCTTTTCTCTTTTTTCTTTTTGGAGTATATTTGCAACTCTTTTTCCCATTTTACAGTTTCTTTACATTGTTGAAGCCAGATTTCTTTTTGAAAGAAGCTGTGTCACTTGTTCCACTATTCAAGTATTATTAGTTCTGTATTTTTTTTGGTGATTCCTGTTGATATAAATGAGGCTAATAGGTCTGTCTCAATTAGTTCTCTTGCCAGGTAGTATCTTTTCTTATGTCGATCTCTGGTGCTTCTACCCGCGAATACTGAGTAAATGTTGTTTTGGGAGATTTTCTTTTTTATGGAGTCCTCAAGATTTCCTCATATTTTTTTTGCAATTGAATACTCTTTTTCTACCCAGTGTTGTTTATCTATTTCACAGAATGTTAGATGTTTGAAGTCTTCCTCTTTCTTTTTACATTTTCTGCAGATTGCTGTTGGGTATAGATCTTCATGGTTTCTTTTACATAGATACAGTGTAGGCAGTAGTCTACTTAGACTCTTTAGTCTGAAGCTCCATTTTTTATTTGCTTTAAAGAATCTTGCTTTTCCTTTTTTTTCTTTTTTCCACAGGTTTTTAAATATTTTCCAATCCTGGTTGTTGATTCTTCTTTGATGAATGCTGTCCTTTTGGCTTGAGGCAAATAATCAGTCTGCTTTGTGAAATGTTTGGGTAAGTATTTTGATGAAGCTTTGTATTGGAGCATTGATTGGTTGCATATTCCAGGTTGGTCTGAGCATTATTCTCTGTATCTCGTTTACCGTAAAGGAAGTTATTTCTCTTTTTTGTGTGCCTTTTTTCGCTGCCTTGTTCGCTAGATTATTTAAGATATCACCTGCATGTACTTTCACTTTGTGAAGTTGAATAGATATATTTTTAGTATTTAGCAGTTTAATAATAGTACCCAGAATGCTGGAGTTTTTTGCTTTGCACC